GAGCGATTCGATACTCCTCTACCGTGAGAGGCAACGGTATGCGATACTCCTTGATCAACATTTTGTCGGAGCCTGTCCTGTATCACCCGTGCATCTTCGCAAAGTGCATCTCCCCTTCAGAGATACTGGACGCCGCCGCGTTCGACGTCTTCGCTACATCTCGAGAGGTTTTTCTCACCGAGGATCACGAGTGATGTCTCCATTTTGCGTCGTTAAGTATAATCTTCTGCAATGGAAGAAAGAAGATATCTCCATATCGCGTTACATCGGACGGTTTGAATTTAAAGTACCCAAGCACTACGATTGCTTCACGGATAGTATTCGAGAACCCTCCGATTTCACACGCTCATATCACATAATAACGATCTTGATGCAATCTCGAGGATAGTGGAACCCGCTTGGAAAAAGGCCGACGAAAAATAAATAAGTATAGGGAAAAATGAAAGGCAAATACGAAAGAAAATAATTTCTTCTTTAAGGAAGTTACGCGGTTTACGAGTTGCCTTGATACATCATTAAATGCCAATGTTTCATAAACATTGCAGTTCATTTCATCAGAGCGAAAAGCAACCTGATAATCTCGCACTGATGAAGTGAACTGTAACGTTCACATTGATACTCAATGATATAAATATTTAAGATACGGAGATAACCCATAAATTTCCTTGAAGAAAATACCCGTGGAAGCCTCAAAAGTATTATCAATAATTTATCTTCTATCGTCTATACCGAGAAAAATAATTGGTTGGATTAATTGAAATTCTGGTTGAAAATGGATGAATCAGAATTTCCTCGTTAAATCTTACAATTATATAATAGAATATTAATTGTGATAATCAGAATTATGATTGATGTAATCAAAATTTTCCGTTTCGTTCATTTTTAACCAAACATTTTTCTCAATATATTGTCTATTCTGTATTCTTACAAACGTCGTACTTCATGACAATTCGACAATAATATCGACATATTGATAAATACTGCCGATGAAACAATCGTGTAACAAAAGTATATTCTTTCAACTGTGAGAAACTGGGTTGTATAATTAAAGGATAGTTTAAAATGAGGCATGCGACTTTAATAACCAACTCGTTCATTTAAAAAAAATATAAAAAATGAAGAGAGAGAAACTTAATAGGCATCGAGAATTTCTGTTATTATACCCGAGCTGTACGCTGCTGGAATTTTTTTGATTAATTAAGTTCTTTAATAGCTCGTCTTGACTGCAGGATTCGCGTTGTGGTGAACGTTAACCACGTCGATCGTATCGCAAGCTGCTGCTCGAGCTCAGCGATACGTAAATATCGCATCCTTTTTGACGCGATATTTACTGTGCCGGAAATATTCGTAATACCGGTGCTTAATCATAGTTAAAAGTAGCCATTAATAATCAACGCGGACAATATAAATCCGTATCTAAAATATAAAAGATTTAAGTCTGCGTAACTGAGTTTTTATCAATGCATTTAGTAAACAATACCTGTTTATGCAAATATATCGCTATTATACAGGTGAATGTAGCCTTGGTGCATAAATGATTTGCCAAACAAAATAATAATTGTGTGCAGCATTGAATAATGAATTAATGTTCACACATATTTCCAATGCTAAATCAAGAATTGTTAATTATATTGTCAATATTTAATTACAAGTCATATAAATTATCATTTTAATATTTTTATTCTTTTATTTCCTTTATTTAAAATTATATGTATACCACATTCTGAGGCAAACGTTTCTTAAAAATATCACTGCATATTTCAAGTACATTACTATTTGTATAAATTTGAACAGAAAGACAATTTAAAGTTAAAGTTATTCCTAATTTTGCGCGAAAAATATTGCTTTATGAAAATCGTCAGTACCGTTGATTTCCAGCGAATAATTCGCGATAGGAAACAACCGCGTTCTCGCATCCAGACAGAAGCAATAAACAAAACGGTACGCAAAATGTTTATTTATACGCGAGTCAGCCCCTGCGTGCGAAATTAGCAGCCGGCAATTACGCGGTACAGATCGACTCGCTGCAAAATTCGTATTCTGTATTCATGAAATTAGCGCTCCTGTAAACACATACCCACGCACGCATGTACACCCATGCACGTATATACACCCACCCACAAACAAAATTGCAAACTTTAATCGCCGTGCTGTGAGTTCCGTACAAATGCACGTTTACTCTGTGCGAGCGTGAGAGCAGTAGATATCGATGATAACGTCGGACGTACCATTCACGACACACCAACAACGCACGGCGCAGTTTCCGGAGTATAGATACTTTCGGGTTTTTACATCTTCCCCGTGTCCCGATTAAAATTCACATCGCGGAGGTACACGGAATCTGGACGCGGGAACACGCGTGTCACTCCGTCACTCTAATTCGGAGAAATTTGCGACTACGTTTGCTGAACGATTAATCCTTTAATCGCTAAATTCATTCGTCGCTTCACTCAAGCGCGAAAAATTGCAAAGGGAATTCAATTTGTGTAGCTTCTGCACGCGAGTTTCAGTGAACGAGTTCGATTTTTACTTCAAAAACAGTTTTCTGTTAAATCATTTTAATTGTACATAAAAAAATAAATCAATAAAAAATAACTTACGTATAATTGTATACGTATATAGTATGCAATACATATAACATTTTCAGAAATAAAGCGTTAAAATTATTATTAATTAAAACAAAATTGTTAATTTGATCAGAAATAAGTTTTAAATGAACGATAAATGAAATGTGAAACAGATTATTGTAGTTAATAAAAAATCTTAGTAAATATAATCCCTTTAAATATAAATTATTTTTACAACAATAAATTAATGTACATTATCGTGTTATGTTTATTACGATCCTTTTTCGAAACTGTAAAGGGTATACCATTACTTTTCACAGAAGTAACAGTACCGCGACGATGTACATAAACTCAAGAATTGTTTTAAATCTCAACATCAAAGAAAATAAAGAAAGATACATAAAAATCATACGCGTTGCCATCAATTAAGAAACATATTCATGCATTTCTTTTTATACTGTACGAGTTCACGTCGATTCGATTAAGAGGAAGGAACGTACGAAAGCTTTTGACAAAAAAAGCGGGCAGCCTAAATTACCGATAAAAGGGTTAAACAATGACGTCAATGATGCGAATGATGTCACAGTGGGGACGGCGAGAGCGCGATTAAAGGGTACTAAGGGGGGCGGCTTGACGACGATGGGGCTAAGTGACAGCGAGAGACACACACAAACACACAACACGCGGACACGGCGACGCGTCGCCACCGACTGACGGTGGTCGGTGGATGGAAGCGGAGGAGGCTGCTCGATTGGCGGCGCGATCGCACGCGCGACTCGTCGAACCCGCGAAATCGTTGCCGGCCAATCGGAGCTCGCACCTCGCGACCCGACGAGCCCGCGGGCAGGGCCGTAAATTAAACGGCGCCAATGAACAAACATGTTATTTTACAACAAAGAACTCGCACGCGTACACCGCCGTAGTTTACGCACGTCACATGGGTGAAGAGATTTACATATTGGTGGTCCAGGCGGTGACCATCTCTTTTCTCCCTCAATTATGAAAAGATTTAAAAGACTCGTTTATGTACTGCAACAGTATCGTTGTAAGATACGTGGATCTTTTAAATTTTGCATTTGCATGCTTTTACATTTTACACGATGCATTACCAGTGCACTTTTATATCGTAATGTATCGCGATATAAAAGTGTACTAGTAATATCTCTCGTATAAGAACGAATATAATATTGCAAAAGCAATTTGCTGAAGAATTCTCCATAAAGGATCGCTTCTCGCAATCGCGTAATGACGTTGAAAAGATTAATCCCAAAGATCACCAAGATTTATCTCCAAATAATGTGAAAGACAATCGACACATTTACAGATCTCGTATGCGCATCTCCGAAATGAGCAGTGACGATTCAAGCCATAACAGTTCGAAGATAACTCCGCCTCTTATCTATCCGTGGCAGATATAGGTATGCGAGATCTCGCCGGGGATCGTTTCCAGATAATGGAGACGTGATACCGGAGATTGTTGTTAGATAATAGAAATGTGACGCCGGGGTGGTTAACTCGCCACTGCCCGGACAACCACCGTCCTCCGCCGCCCGGTCTATTGATCGTCCCCGAACGACCAAGAAGGCGCGAGACCAGCTGCGCCACTCGCGCGCCAGCGAACCCCCGCGAAAAGGCGAGACCGAAAACGGCGTCGCGACGCCGCGACACCGGCGTGCGAATCTTGTCCCCGTCGGAGTCACCTTAACCCTTTCGGGATATTCGTCATCTAATTCGACAGCGAGATATCTTGAAAATAACGTGCACCTTTTGACACCTGTTCCGAGCCGAAATTTCCCCGAAGCATTCCACAAAGACTTACATCTTACATCACACAGAAAAACATTCTATTGCTAAGAAAAATGATTACTCGATTCACTTTTAAGTAAGGATTATCTTTAACAAAGAATTTGATAACAATACTAAAATATATTTATTACAAATTTTAAAAATACTCATTATTATATATTCAAAACAAGAATTTATTTTCTTTTGAAGAATGTTATAAAACTGAAGAAACGACTTTATGTAATAAGCAATTTGTTTTAATTTAATAATCTTAATTGAAGGATTATATAAACTTACTATAGGACTCAGAATATATTTTGAGTAAATTTGATGCTTGTGATGAATTTTTATGATAAATTTGCGGAATATGAATTTTTAAAATACTTGAAACAAGCAATTATTTTGTGTGGATACAGTATGTATTTTTCTGTACATCTTTTAAAATCTCAAAATTGTAAAGAGCCGTTGTTTCCCAATTCTTTTACAAGCTTAAATTTAATAGACTAAAACGACCTATAAAACACGCGGAAAAATAGAACTTTGTTGCTGCATAGAAGACAAAATAACGTAAAAGAAACAATTTTAACAAAGCGACTCTTTGAGAATTTTTTTTATTTAAACTTTTATACAGCAATTTCAAACAATTATTTCCGTAATAATTTCAAATAAATAAATGTCATCGAATCGTAAGTAATGAACGAGTTGCAATCACTTTACGCAATCGAGAGTCTTGCTCCAATTAAAATTTGTTATTTCACATGTAATATTCCTCTCTCTCTCTCTCTCTCTCTCTCTCTCTGTCGCTCTCGCTAAAGCGACAAGAAACGATTAAAAATTAAAACGACCGCCGCGTGTCGAGCAGACAAGCCGTCATATTTGTCTCGCCGCTATTTTCAGCTGCCACTAGCAAAACCAAGTTATTCCCACGCTTCTACTAATTGCCCGCTTTCTTGGGTACTGCATACGGATCTTCCACTTCATAACCATGCGGCGGTATTGGATTTTTCACGGGATTATGGAACAACGTGTGATTGCCATCGCCCCAAGGAAACGGCTGTTGAAAGAGAAAAGGAAGCTAAACATGCAGATCTCTTTCACGCATCAAATATTTAGAAAATTTGATATCAGAAGATTGATTTACTATCTATTGCGTGAAACCTTTGACAGATGAGAAATATTAATTTTATGGTTTCTTGGTTTCTAAGTAGATAAATAAATAATTTTATCTCAAATCACTAAAAAGATTAACGCGATCAAAAGAGAGGTAATAAAATCGGAAAGTGGCTCTGTTTATGAATCCAAAATTAGAAGAAATGGAGTTTTCCTCCATCGTCCTCTCTTTTGCGAATTTTACGAAATATACACTGAAAAAAAGAGTCTGATTACATTAATTCGTTGTCTGTCAATTGGAATTCTGATTGAAAATGGACAAATCAGAATTTTCTTATTGAATCTATGATAATTCTACAATAGTTCAGAGATGACCAAAATTCTGATTGATATGGTCAATATCTTATGGTTCGTTTACTTTCAATAAAAAATTTTTCTCATTTTCAGTGCAGGAAAAATTGTAATGAAATTTATTGTATAGGCAAACTGGAGTAAGGTCAGTAGAATTGTGGGTCTTCATTAGTCAATAACGTTGTCCAATACAATTTTTTGCAGCACGAATTTAAATAGACATTTCCGTATTATTGCCTTCTAAATATAAATCCGTTGACAAAATTTAACTAACACCTCACAATTTTAAGAAAAGTGGCGTCAAAGAGACAAAAAATGACGATTTTGAGGACTTTCATGACGTTGTAGCATTTGTATCAAATTTTTTCTTAAATTTTATTAATATCACGCAAAAATATCAATTTTTAATTTCATAATGCATTTTAATTCGTTTCGATGCAGTTTTCGTTTTCAAGATATAATTTGAAAAATAGTATTTCCCATGTAACACGTGTATCTACTGTAATATATGTATATAACTCGAAAATGAAAATTCATATATTGAAACGAACTAAAATGCATTTTAAAACTACAAGTTGATACTTTTGCGCGACATTAATGAAATTTAGAAAAAAAAAGATACCAGCGCTGCAACGTCATGAAAACCCTCAATCATCATTTTTTATCTTTTTAATCCCATTTTTCTCAAAATTGTACCTAGTCAAATTTTATTAATAGATTTGTATTCAGCAGGCTCTTTTGTCCATATTTTTGTAAATCAAAAATGACTCTTCACATTTGTGTTGCAAAAAAAAAGGTAAAATTTTGTCGGACGATGTAACTGAAATTACCAAAAAAATTGGTCTAGCTGTCAGAGACACAATAAATTACCGTGATAAATAAATGTGACTGAATAAAGACTTAAGTTCCAGAATATAATCATCTTGCAAAATTTGAAAAAAATATGGATACAAATTCTTTAGACAGTTATGTATTTAATATTTGAAGAATAATATTTTCAAAGTAGATTAATTAAAATTGATTTACTTTCTTACTTTCATTGTGCATCAAAAATACAGAAGCAAATATATATTTTATGTTCATCTTTATATTTAATCAATGCAATTTGTAATATAAATTCTACAAGAACAATGCTATGTGATTTAATGGTAGATTAATAATATCTTATCTTCATATTTGATCGACTTAATTGAATACAATAATAAATTTCGTGAGCGGTCTGCAATACAATCGCTCTGCAATTAATCTACAATGATTTTATAAATTTATATACGAAATACAACTATTTGATTCTTTGTCAACGATTAAACTCTCGCTGATGAAGAATCAACTATAAAATTCGACATTTATAATCATAAAACGAAATCCACACGAGAGAATCTAAGTTCGCGTAACCACCGGATTGTAATGGTAGAAAGATTCCTTAAGTCTTATTTCTTTTGACAGTTCTAACAAATGGGACCAACTAGAACCTTAGTCCGTCGACACATGTACGGGAGATTCTGGAACGGTTCCCTCGGCTGCTTTGCTTTTTCTTGCTGCTGTGCATAAGTAACCATCGACATAATCACGACGATCGGTAACGCGACGCAGAGGGACAATATACGCCAAAATAAGAGCTTGCGTGGATCTGTTCACAATCGATCGTATTGTTATTTACATGCAATTGCTAATAATATCGCTAGGAATTCCACAGCGAAATTAAATTGCATTGCACTCTACATCTCTGTTAACGATAAATTAAATTTGTGCCAAATTCTCAATCTATGAAATATTTCTCTTGATGAACGTGTAATATCGAAATAAAGGGCGAAATATTAAAATAAAGCAAATTCAATTAGATTTCGAGTTATTACTGATAACATTAATTAGTTGTATTCAAATTTTGTTTCAATCTGCAGGAAACCGAGAAAAATATGAATTTGATTAAAGTATAATATTTAATAACTTTCTCCTTTTGCATCATACATTGTATTTAATTTACGTATTTTAAAAAAATAATTATGTTATCTTCTATATATGTATTTATACGCGTAATAAATGAAATTTATAATAATTTAAACTCAAAGTTTTATTTTTCTAAAGTAACACATGATTCTGTCCTCTCTCATTTTACATAAAAAAAACAATTTTACTGAAGTATCTAAAAATTTAGCTAGATACAGATCTGAAAATAATTTTGGTTGAAGTATCAAAATAATTATGTAAGGCACTCTCAAACTCTGATCGCTAGAATATTAAAACTTCTTGCAGCCTTGTCATTAACGCATAATTATTTTGATGGTCCAACAAAATTATTTTCAAATCTAACTAAATAAGTTTCAATACTTTAGCAAAACCATTCTTTCCGCATATATAGCCTCCATTTCGATCATCGTTCATTTCTAATTTCAAGTCATCTAAATCTTGGCGTCGCAGAATTCCTAGTGCGCCAAGTTGTGAATTTATTGAGAAAGTTCAAGAGATACGCATGGAGGAATTCCCAACGTTACCGGCGTGCGGGTAATAAATTGATGGCCGGGACCGGGGAGGAGGACACGATGGTCTCCACGGTGGAGGGCACGGTGGGCAAGGAGGATCGCAGTGAGGATCATCGTCCATCGGCGAGGAGCAAGGATCCGTTTCTGGTACGGTTCGCGAGTCGCAGCCCTTCGATCTCTCGAACATGCCGAGCTTTCGTCGGAAATGTCGGAATGTTAGGCACCGCAAATCGGACGGTCTCCAGATACGAGCGAACGACATCATTCAACGAATGTTACGTCTCGCGTTACGATTCCTCTTGGTTGCGTTTTCGGATTCTCTCAAGGGAAATTCGAGGTGAAAGGCGCAATCGAGACCTAAAGATTCTAATCACGGGGAGATTTTTTTCGTTTGAAGTTATCGTCATGATTATTTCGCGATAGTCGATTGACATGCATGGTTTAGGAGCAGAAAAAGTGACTGCATTCAGCTTTAGCAGAATGTTTATTTTGCAACTGTTGGAAGTTTTCTTCGTGCTGATTGGGTTATATTTTTAGATCTAGAGGATGGTCCTATCTCAACAGATAATCATAAAACAGTTACAAAATTGTTGTGTCTTGCTGAACGCAGCCATTGAGTAGCGAGTTTGCTGAAAATTCAGTATGAACCATAGACGTAATCAAACATAAGATAGGTGTAATATTTCCATGAATACGCAGTAGGGGAATAAATTTGAACTCAAATTTGATTGGTTATTCTATGAAGTTGTCATTATCAGTTTAAAAAGAGTGAGGTAGCTTGAATATCTCTCTCCTTTTTTTTCTCTTCAAAGTATCGAGTTGAAGAGAAACACTGATATGTTCAATTATTTCTAACGAAGCAGAAAGATGCTAAGATCACAGGGAATGTGTAGTTTATACCTATTATGCCCGTATCAGACTATGGATTGACGATTACGATTAACGGTTGCCCGGTTCTATTTCAGCCAGTTACGATGGACTCGCTACATCGATTAGTTGAAGTAGAATCGAGCAACCGTTAATCGTAATCGTCAATCCGTAGTCTGATACGGGCATTAGATCTATGGTACGAATGAATAACTAATGCCTGCTCTACTAAGGTAAATTAATTTTTAATCTCGGTTCAACCTATTCTTTATTTTTTTATTGATTCTTAGGGTGCGTCCAGACTATCGAGCCGCGAGCCAAACCAAGATTAAAGTTAATCTACATTGGTGGAAACGAACATAAAAAATATTTATATTTTTATACGCGCAAGAAAACGTAGAATCTATGAAAAATAGAAAATAAACTTGGATTTGTAACATGTGTTATTTGGGTTGGGTAATATAACACTCGACATTGCTTGCGAAACCTTAAAAGCAACGTTCGATACTCTTTGTTACGACAACGCCTAACGACGTTGAAGAAAATGTGTCCGTTTAATCCCTCCAGAAGATGAGATTAATAGCAGAGTGCACTTAAACACGAAGACGTCGCGCTTACGAACGGATGCGTCACGTGATAAACGGGAACATCGTTTAATCCGCACTTTATCGATACGCCACTATGTCTGGACCAGACGGAAGCTGGAAAACAATCCGCCACCTGCCTTTCCCGCGGAAAATATTTTCATATTTGCCTCTCGCAACACATATTCCTCTTTGATCAAATATTTTCTTGGAAGTTGCTCGGTCGCAATCGTTTCTTCAAAACAACTTTATCTGAATATAATAATAATAATACTTGTTATTATACAATATATCAGAGTTGATCTGATGAGAAATAAAATACAATTATATAATTATTATGTATTATTATGATACATTATAATTGTAATCATAATTTTATAATGTAATTATAAAATGATGTGTTATTTTATGATAATATAATAACAATACATAGTATTATAACATATAATTATTATATAATGGATGCAAAATATTACGACGAAAAAAAAGTCCTGTTTTCATTCATATTATAAATCTAATATGAATGTAAAAAAAGAATTCGTATATATTTGTACAGCGTTCTCTAAAGAAACGAGAGGGATAATTTAGGCCTGCATATCTAAATTTAGTCCTAGTTGCAATATCCGGCGTCATCCGCCAAGAAACTCTATTTGGCCTTCCATTCCCATAAAGACTGAATATCGAGCGAACGAAGGAAAATAAAATTGTTTGCGAGCCGACGACAAAGGGCTCGAGCTTCAATTCTGCCTCGGATCTTTCGCGTGGCATTTAATTACGCCTCTCGGATGTCGCGAGTATTTGTCTTTTCACTTCGCGGTCGACGAATGGGCAATTTTCAGAATTCGATGGAATCGTAATGTCACCGATCTGACCTTTCGAGGGAAGCGTGGCTCGGATATTCCGGTACGATATTAATACAATAATTGTGCGAAAATATCAAAGGCTCCGAGCATCGATCACGGCGAATCGTTAAGATTATTATTAACCCCGACAGACATAGGAGTTTTTTTGCTGATAAAATAAGAACGCCCACTTTTAACTTATTTGCACGTTTACCAGAAATGTATTGGCCATCGATTATGCATCTTTTTTATAAGACTTTCCGTTCCCCGGGCGCATTTGTTATAGTGTTGACCTATATACGGAGAGAGATTTACAATACTTATTCGATTAAACTTCGTAAACTTGATTTTCGACGGTATGGAAATCCATCATGAATTATGCATGATTTCCTTCCCATTGACGCCTCGTCGATGTTTATTTGTTTTATTGATAAATATGTATGAATATGTGTCCCAAATCGGAGCGTATTATTATTGATCTTGAGATTGGCTGCGTACAACAAAGAAAGCAGCTTTGCAACTGTTGTAAAATTCTTCAATATTGGTTTATACGTTTAGATCTGTAAGGAACCAAAAGCAAGAACCAATCGTATTGAAGAATTTTACAACAGTTGCAAAGCTGCTTTCTCTGCTGAACGCAGCCATTGTTATTGAGATCCGTATTAATATTTTTTAAACAGACATCCGAAATATTATTTTTCTGCTTGTTTGCTTTTTCGCGGATGATACTGAATTATCCTGCGAACGAGCAGAGACAATGCTACCAGATTCGCACGGGGCTGCTTTCCTGGGAAACGGGGGTACGTCGATGCGACTTGCGCGACAACCTTTGACATTTCAAAAGGGCGGATCGAAGTTTCCTTTTCACCCTCCGAGAGTAGGCACACTCCCGGTGTGACCCAACATCCGGCCGAAATGTGCGACGCATAAAAGATCTACGTACTAATTTGCTGAGCTACAAATGAGTTTCTGCCTCGTAAAAGCTAAGACCTTGATGTTCGTTAATCTCCTTCACTTCCTTTTTTTTCTTTACTTCATATCCTTGATTCTTTCCAGTAGTTAAACGTAACGCATCCTTCCCTCTCCCTTGTGTTTTCGTCGCAGTGACATTTGCAAATAAAAATACACGCAAAGCGCGCAAAAAATATTCCAAATGCATAAGTCCCACGATTTCATATATCGCTTATAAAAAATATATAAATGTTTCCTTTGTCATTAGAATTCTCAAAAAGCGACTTGTACTGCTTTATTGTAACATGAAGAAATTTGCAATTACCATTTGCAGCATAAAAAAGATTTCTGCTTTACATTTACTTTATTCTTCTTTGAAATCAAGTGTGTATAGAAGGCTTCGTAGTGTGCAAATTTGACAAAAGAACTTTTCTTTTTTAACAAAAAGATGAATTAAAATTTGTATCATATTTTTCATACCTTTTAAAATGTTGCTATCAAATAATTAAAGATTATGGTCATTATCCTAATTTGAAATATACCTATCAAGAAACTTGGTATAAAAGATCCGCTCAAAATTAATTTCAAAATATGATTTTGTTATTTATAAATCTTGATTTATTGTTTTTTTGATTGTTTATTAAATCATTTCTAAAATATTATTTATACTTCTAAGGCAAAGCTAACTATATACTCAATATACCTGTTAAAATAAGGTTTTCATTTTTCGAGAGATGATATTATTCATTCGTGCATCAAATGTATAACATATCATACATGTAGCTACAAGAAATAAGAGAACTCACTACAACGCGTGTATAATACAAATTCATTTTTTATATCAAAGATTATTTGTTAAATCACATACATCATGTGATGTATTCAACAGTTTGCAGAATCAAGAGATCGTTTTAAAAAAATATGCGAAACAATGGATTCAGAGAGCTGGAATGTTTCACGAGAACAAAGCTCTGGAAATAGAAAGAAAAATTCTGAATACGTATAGATCCAAAAAATTAAAGAATCAAATAAAAAACAGAGAAATGTAAAATCAAGTTAACAACTTAATGGAAAAGTCCTTAAAATAAAAAAAGTCCATAGGAACGAAATTCTGCGAAGCATTAAGCAAATTTATATTAATTTATAAATTTATGAGACTTATAGGTCATTGGGAGATAAGCGATAGGTAATTTTTCGAGATTTTTCTCTTCAATCCTAATGCATGCTCAATCTTAAAAGCATCTTGTGCATTTATTGTCGTCACGTATTTATATTAACCATTAAAAGAATTTTTGTTTCGAAGCACGAACGCTGTCGGAAAATAAATCGACCACGCTTCTTGAATCTCAATTTCTAATTATTGTAGATCATAATTAGTAGTGGACATATGCGGTTTATCATAGCCCATCATTCAACTGCGCAAACCTAATTGCGTCGCTCGGCACGCGAGATTCTCCGAGGCCGCGTTGTACATATGGTACATCTCCATTAACCGCAATATAACAACGGGCTTGCCATATCCATAATTAAACAGATGGAATGAATAATTGAAAGTACTAAAGTAGCACTTTTTCTTCAACGAGCTTTCTCTGTAAGCGTTTCCATCACTAAAAGTTCATGAGCAATCTTTTTTGACAAACTGATATAAAACTATTTTTTTCTTTTATATTTATTTATTTTAATAAATAGAACATTTTTAAGACAATAAAACTAAAAAATAGGATATTTGATATAGACAGAAAAACAAAGAAAAGAAAGTTATAATGAAGAAATTAATATGAACGCAAAGATATGGATGCACTGAGAAAAATTTCTGGTTGAAAATGGATGAGCCAGAAGATTCCACTCACATCGATTAGAATTCAGATTATATCAACTAAAATTATGATAGATTCAACTAGAAAATTCTAATTTATGTATTTTCAACCAGAATTCTAATCAATGCAATCAGACTCTTTTGCATAGACAGATAGATAAAGAAATAGATAAGGAAATAAATCCTATTATTCTTTGTCTTGGAATCATCTCGTTATCATCTCTCCACTATTAGGCTATTATTAAACTTTCCTATTGAAAATTGGGACGAGCCTATATTTAATCGATTTTCCAAATGTCTGACGTCATTTATGACGTCTCTTAAAGAGAGAGAGGGAGATAGAATACTAGAAGTTCACTCTCGTTCAACCGAAGTGACGTCAACATTGTGATGTCCTCCGTTATCGTCAACTGGAGTAAAATAATAACGAGACATGAGTGCGGTTTATACTGAACACCACGGGCGCGACTTTTCCACAAAGTGGAGCATTAATCGCAAATGTCAAAACGAGTCCCAAGTGTGAAAAGCATGATTGCACGATTGGAAAACATTTGTTTTCAAAATAATAACAGGGGTAGATTAAAAACGCACGTTAAAAGTAATAAACTATCTTCTTTCAAATCGCTCTAAGTTGGTATTTTAGCGAAAACAAAAATAAAACTACAACTAACTGCAACTAAGAATCGAAGATTTATAAATCCAAAATTTCTAGTAGTCACAGCGACTAAAAAAAATTCTATAACGAATCTAACTGATAATAATAACTTCAAATTGTATTTAATAAATTTTTATGAGAGATAATCTTATTGTACTATATTTACAATTAATAATACAATTAAAAATGCACAAGATCATTTAACAGAAAGTTTATTTTAATGAGAAGTAAGATAAAAAACAGTTGAAAATATGATATTATAATATTTGAAGAGCTATCCATAAAACATATCTGCAATAAAATAAAACACCGCATAATCATACATAATGAATCGAACTAGCAAAAACTTCTTAAAAATAAAACTTGCTAATCAAATGATATATTTTCTGAATAATTGCTAATCACATAATATATTTTCTGAATAATGATACACGATTTTATTTATGTAATGTCTTTAAATTCAAACAGGTGATTTATCAATTTTATGAAATCGTTAAACAAATAATTTTCGGATCTAAAATCTAAATCCATAATTTGTTGAAAATGCAATCATTATAAAACAATCTAATAGATCTAAATATCAAAGATTTAACTCAAGGATATGCAAATACAAAGGTCAATGGATTTTGAATTCATAAAGTCAAGTATCTGTGAATCCATGAATATGAACAATTCTGACGATGACTAATCGTCTGAGATGTACGCAGCAGCATCCGTGAAATAAATTATAATTCCTAGACCTGTCCTAAGCAATACTATTATAAATCACATTATGTCATAAATTAATTATATTATAAGCTAACTAATGACGCTCTGTCTCACAAACACTATATTTTCTAAGTAGTAAGTAGATTCAATTTTACCGAAATTCTATCCCATATGAAATATATATATGAAATAACTTAAATATTGAAGTAATTGGGAGAATAAGTAAAGGAATCTTTTGAAGTTATTTGGAAAATCGTCATATTCAGTTAGCATTATTTTATGCGCACTTACGACTATGATTTCTAACATCGCAAAATCTTCCAAACAATGGAACAGATTCATCATTTTATCGGTAAACACAACAATAGAATTATTTTATCCGATTTTATCTTATTTATCTCCTCGGTTTTCTTTCGAGAAATTTAATACTGTGTAATATGTATTAAATTGGTTATAATTAATTATTTCTTTTTTAATATTAAAAGTATTAAAAATAGTATTTTTAATACTCAAAAGAAATAATTTTTCACTGATTTAATAGTTAGAGTATTAAATTTTTCTAAGGGTTATCAATAATGTTTATTAATATTTTTAATTAATAAATTAATTAATTGATATAAAGAAAAATATATATATATAATAAATGTGGCTAAAACGCGGGAAAACATTTCAAAGAAAGAGAGAAAAAGAAAAGGAACAGTCTCTGCATCAAAAATTCTCTCTAATTATTTTTCGCACGTGCCTTTCTTCTTCCTTTTATAATTAGTACTTATCTTTTCTTCACCCCGTTCCCTTCTCTAATTCTTTCGTACGCTACTGTCCATCATCATTGACCGGAGTACAGGCTATAAAATAGCTCAACGATTTACCATGACGATTACGCGCGCCGTTTCGCAATTCGCCGATAATTTCCTGCCGTTCGCCAGACATGTAGTAGATTTGTCGTTCGATTGTACACACTCGTTAAAACCAATCGATCGCCAACTTACCGATTCTCCAATAAGCTTCTCGATCGCCGATAGGTGCTCCAATTGTAAGGTGTACTCGCGAGAGTTCACATACGAACGATCACACGCGACGATCGTGCGGCTGCAAGATGTTCCCCGGCATTTTCACGCGACGACTCCTCGAACACGGCCAAGGCGAGACCCTGCGTTGGGATGTCATCTCGGTTGATAAGGCAGCTTCTTCGACGCCTGCGCTGTCGTGATTACAAGTGCAATGCCGTATCTAGGGCGGAATTCATAGACGGTGTTCAAG